GCGGCGCGGGCCGGGGCCCCGGGCGTCCTGAGCGCAGCGTCAGCCCGGGGGATGCCTGCCGCGCTGCTGGCCCTGGCCATGTCGTCGTCCTTCTTCAACCCCAGCTTCGCCTTCAGCTCGCACTTCGACCCCGGTGAGTCCGCTGGCCGCGCCCCTGGGCCAGCCCTCCGCCCGCTGCGGCTGCCCCCAACCTGCCGGGGCTGTGCGCCCCACCCCCCCAGTCCCCCCACTGCGGACATGATGCTTCCTGAGCGGCGGTTTCCTCTTTTGCATGGAAATTAACCCTTTCCCCACCCTGAGCAGAGCCCGCAGGAGGAACTGCTGGTGGGAAGGACCCCCAGAGACCCCACTCGGTGGAGGTGGGCAGGCCTTGGTGCTGGCCCCGGGCAGGGCTGAAGCCTCTGGCAGGGGGGTGGGCGGCGGAGGCGCAGGCCACTGTCTCTGTGGATGCCTCCGGCTCAGGTAACTGGGGCAGGAGGGCCTACATTGGCCCCAGGTGTCCAGGGGAGGAAGTGGCCAGGACCAAGGGCCCCCTGGGAGGGGTGGGAGTGTTGCCTTTGGGTCCCAGGCCACCATGGCCCCTTGCCGGTCCATGGTCTGAGTGTGGGAAGCCCCTCTCCTTGCTGGGAGCCAGTTTTAGGGAGCCCTGCCCGGCTACCCAGCAGCTTGCACGGGAGGTGGGAGCAGCGGCCGCCCACAGGACAGCGCCCACTGGGCAGAGGCTCGGAGGAGATGGGCCTCGGTGGGTGCCCAGGCCCCCTGGACGGCGGGGGAGGCCCAGGTGGCCCTGTCTGGCTGGCTGCGGGGGACCTGGGGCCCGGCATCTTACCGTGCCAGACTGGTGGTGCCAGCCGCGTGTTTACCCGGGGCTGCCTGGCCTCCTGGCGGTCGTGGGCAGCTGCGGCGGGCACAGGGCCGGGGGCGGCTGGAGGCCGGCGTCCGTTACCAGGAGGTGGCAGGCTTTCCTCCCGGGGTCGTGGCGGGCTCCAGCCCTCCTTCTCCAGTGTGGGGGAGAACTCCCTGCCCTGGAGCCAGGGCCCGGGGGCCCGAGTCCCACCCACACGTCCCTGGAGCCCTGGCGCAGTCTAATCCAGCCAAAACAAAGCCAGGCGCACATGTGACGGGCTCTCCTGGGTCTCCCTGCCTGGAGCAGGGCCCAGTGTGTGTAGCCATGTGCAGGGTCCCCTGGGCACGGCCCCATGTGCAGGCATTTGCTCCTGGGGGAAGGGAGCTGACGTGAGGTCTGTCTGTTGGGTTTAGGGTGTGGGTGTCAATCCCTCAGAAAAGACTTCCCAGGCAACCAACTCCCAGGGCTTGGAGAAGACGCTGTCGCCAGCGGAGGCCCCGAGTCTGGGCAGGCACAGCCCCGGCTGGCCCCGGGGGCTGGAGGGTAGCAGCCCCAGGCCCGGACAACCTTTGGGGCCAGGCATCTGGGCGGCTCTGGGCCAGTGCTCCAGGCAGCCTGCCGGCTGGGGGGTGGGGGTCCAGCCTTGGGATGCCGCCTTGGAACTATCGGCAGGGCTGGGATGTGTGTGCGTGCGTGTGTGTGTGTGTGTGTGTGTGCACGCGCCTTGCCGGGACTGACCCTGGGATGGAGGCCCTCCCCCACGCCCGGCCTCTTGCACTCTGTGGAGCCCAGACTTGCCCTCCGTGGGGTTCAGCACCCCTTCCCTACACTCGGGTGTGTCCTGGGCACCAGACCCTTCCCCCACTTTAGAGAAACAACAGCTTTGCGTGTCTTGCAGCTGCGATCAGTGTAATTATAACGTGTCAGTTTAATGACTTACAGGGAAGAAGTTGTCAGGAGGGCAAGGGGAGGTCCCCTTGGCAGGTCCAGCGAAGGGCAGAGCTGTGTCCCCCTGTGGGAGGAACAGCCCTGGCTGGTGGCGGTGGGTAACGGGCTGGGGTGCAGGGCTCCATGCTGGTCCCCACGTGGGTGTTGGGGAGGGGGAAAGTTGGGGTCCCCTGGCCTCCTGCCAAATGCCCAGCATTCAGAGCCCAGCTCCCACCTGCTGGAGTCTCTCTGACCCTATCTTCTCATCTGTAAAATGGGACAGCAATGCCTACCCCTAAGCCCTCATGCTGGGCACCTGGGGGAACTTGGCCTTCCGTGAACAAAGATGCTGTTTTAGGGGGGGGGTGGTACACACGCAGTAGCTCCGTGGTGTCTCTCCATCCCCCTCCATCTCTTCATCTCTGTGGAGAGAGGTGGTTCCTTTTGAGGGCTGCTTGTGGCGGAGGGGGGGCAGGACCCTGCTGGGGGCCACCAAGCCTGGAGGGCAGGGAAGACCCGTGTTCTTGGCCATCTGGTTGCTCCACAGTCAGGGCTGGACAGAGAGGCTGGGCCCAGGCAGGGGATCCTCACAAAGCCACCAGGCCAGGCCATGGATCCTTTTTGGGATTCCTTGGTGGTCCCTGTGGGGGGAGGGGCAGTGATGGTGGTGGTTATGTCGAGAAGGGGACTGAGTTTGAGGCTCAAGTGAAGCCCGGGGCTGGGGGTCCCTCACCTAAACCACTGCCCATCTGGGCCACCACCAGCTCTCAGATACGGGCAGGACTGGGGCGCCATGAGGGGCCAGACCTGAATGCGTGCTCTTGGGGCAATGTGGCGGGTGCAGGCGGCCACTTCTGGGGTCTGGCTCTTTCCCAACATGTGGGTGGCCGTGCAGGACTTCTTGGTGTCACAGCTGCGTGACCTCAGTGCTGTGTGGCCTTGGGCTGATCACTCAACCTCTCTGAGACTCAGCCTCGCCTAAGTGACACCTCACCCTGGGGAGACCAAGTGGGCAAGATGTGGGAGCCAAGAACTGAGGGGTGCTGGGGTGCCACATGGTGGGTCGGGAGCTGTTGGGCTGGGCTGGGAGGAGGGGATGGTATGGCCTTGAGGGAGTTGGGGTCACCTCTCCCCCAGGAGTGTGCCAAGGCAGTGGGTGGGCCTGGTGAGGCCTGAGGGACCCCAGTAGGTGCCTGGTGAGAGCAGGCCTTGCTCAGGCTGCTGTGGTTTCTGGGCAGGCCTCGGAGTCCCTGACCCCGGGGGGCCTGGAGCTGTCCGAAGGGCTGCCCTCTGGGCTGGCTGCCTCCCGGGGCCCCTGGCAGTGGGTGGTGGACCCGCCCCTCCCTGGCCACATGGCCCTCTCTGTGCTGCCTCAGTTTCCCGACCTGTAAGGTGGGAGTTAGTGCGGTGCTCACCTCTGAGGGTCACGTGAGGGTCACCAGGGTTGGTGGCGGGGCGAGGTCGCAGCTGTGGGGTCGCAGCTGATGGGGTGGTGGGACTGGGAGATCGGGGAAGCTCTCGGCAGACCGGGCGGCCCCTGGCCCTTCCCCCAGCCCCTCTGCTCATGTCGCCCCTCTGCTCACATCGCCCCTCTGCTCACGTCGCCCCCCCTGCCTGGCCCGCCAGGAGCTCACACACGGCTGCTGACTTGTGCCCCACGCCGGCCCGGGCAGGGCACGCCCCGTGGGGAGAGGCCTGGCAAACGCACCCTGGCGACAGTTCTCAACCCCAGTGGCTTCTGCTCACGGCCTGCTGCCGGGGGGCCTGGCTGGAGGCAGACGCTGCCCAGGCCCCCGCAGACCCGCTCAGGCTCAGGGGGCCCAGAGCCGGCCCTCTGGTCAGTGTTGCTTCCTTCCCTTGTGCCCGAGGGGCTGGGGCGCACTGCGTGGTGCGGGCCATCGAGGGGAGGCGTGCCCCTCCGGGCAGGGGGCCGGGGAGACCGTGCCTCCGCTTCGGGCACGTTCTCCAGGGAGCCGGCCTCTGCCCCTCCCTCAGGGGGGCTGCTTCTCCCCCACAGGCCCTGCACCCACACAAGCAGGTACGCGCAGGCTCACACACGCAAGCACACGTGTGAGCGCACGGATGCACACGTGCCCTCCGGTGAGGAAATGTGACTCACACCGGATTTGCACGCCCACCCACACGCGTGTGCAGGTGACCGTGGCGTGTGCGCACCTGCACACCTACCTCTTCACACAGGTGAGCACACTCGGCGGGCAGCTGGTACATTTCTGCCGGGCAGAGCCTGCTGCTTCAAACATGGGGTCACCTCCTTGGGAGCGGAGGGCGCGTCTTGGGCGAGTTCGCCCCAAGTGTGGCCTCCTGACCTGCTGGCCGCCCGGCTCCCCTGCTGTGGGAGCCTCTTACTCCTTCCATCAGGCAGAGCCTGGACTTGGGGCTGGCCTGGGCCCTGGTCCCCCCGAGGCCAGCCCACATCCCTGGCCTTAGGTGACCTTGAACCAGGCACGTGGGTGCCCCTGGCTTTTGTGTGTGGACTTCCCCACCACCTCGTCCATGGGGGTCCCCCCCTGAGGCCCACTCAGCCCCCACCAGGGCCCATTGCGCCCATGGCCCTGACCTCCTGGGTGAACCCACAGCCCCATTCTGCTGTTGACTTCTGCTGGCCTGGGTGGGGGGCACTAGGGCTTCCTGGTGGGGGTCCTGGCTGAGGGGAGAGCCAGATCCTGCCTCCCCCGCTTGGGCCCCAGCCCCCACCACTGCTCTCATTTCAGTCCTGTGGACAGAGCTGTCTGTCCTCGTGGCTGGTCCTCAAAGGCTAGCTCTGCTTCACCCAGCCACGGAGCTTTTCTCAGAGCGGGCTGAGCCTGGTCCTCCCCCGGCGGTCATTGCCTTGGGGTGCGTGCACCCCTCTTTTATCTGGGAAACTCCTCCATGGACCCCATCTTCCCCTCTTCAGTGGGCTCCTGGATATAATAGCATCCCCCAAATTCCTGCCCACCTGGAGCCTCGGGATGGGACCTTGTTTGGAAATAGTCTGTGGATGTTAGGAGTTAAGATGAGGTCATGTTCAGGGTGGGCCTACGTCCAGTGGCTGAGGTCCTTACGGGAGAAAGTAATGAGGGTTGGGGGAGCAGGAAGCTTCCGGGCACCTCCAGAAGCGGGGAGAAGCCGGCAGGATCCGGAGGGAGCAGGGCCCTGACGGAGGGCTCCTGGCCGCCGGCGCTGAGAGAACCCACAGGCCTGTTGTTGCCCCCCCTTTCCCCCACTTGTGAATTGTTCAGGCAGCCCCGGGTCCCTCCCCAGGGAGCCCCCAGCCTGCCTCCCGCCCTCAGCCGGCCTCACCTCTGTACACATGGCGGAGTCTTGGGAAGAAAATGAGGGAACCCAGGTGCGGGCGGCCTCGGGACCCGCGCATCCACGGGGCCCGGCCTGCCTCTCACATGGGAACGGGCCCCGGCATCACGGCCGCCCGAAGCCTCCCCGCCCCCGGCAGAGGAAGCGGCAGAGGAAGCGAGGGCAGGGGAGGCCGGGCCCGAGCCAGTCCCCAAGCGGCCTGTCTGGGCCGTGTCCACGCCAAGCCCCCTGACTTCCTCTGCCGGGACCTGGGGCTGAGGCAGGGTGCCTGGGTGCCCAGAGTGGGGTGGAGGGTCTCCAGATGGTCACCCTGGGGTTAGACCAGCAGTCGGAGCCATGTGGGAGCGGCCGCCCAGAGCCGGGTACGTGGGGGTTTCTGGGAGGACGTGGGCCGCTGTCCCCCCCTCTGGCCCCGGGGGGGCAGGGGCTTGTCGTCACGAGGCTGTGGCCCTGGCTCTGGCCCCGGCTCCGGCCCTGGCGGAGGAAGTGGCAGGAGAGGAATGGGCAGGGCTGGTGCAGTGGCTGGTTCTGGGCAGCCTAGGGGTCACTCACCTGTCACAGGGCGTGTGGGGTGCGGCAGTGGGTCCCGGCGCCTGGAGGGGCGGGCGGGGCCCCACAGGTCACCTCTCACGGCGGGATGCGGCCGGGTCCGGTCTGGCTCACCCCTGGCGAGGGTGTGGTGTGCCCCCTCCTTCCCCACAAGGAGGGGGCCGCGCAGCTGCCGCCCACCTGCCGAGGCACATGGCCTCGGGCAGCCCCGACAGCTGGCCTGGGGCTGGCCAGGGAGACAACCTGCCCGTCCGTGTCAGCCAGGCTGGGAGCAGGGCAGCTGGGCCCCCAGACCCGGCCTCTCCCGACGTCTCCCCGGTGCTGAGGCTGGCGTGGGAGACGGGCAGCAGGATGGTGCTGAGGACACCGTCCTACATCGAGGAGTCCTCGCTGGGTGTCCAGCTCCGGGGAGGGTCCCGCAGGGCTTCACGCCCTGTTCCCGCCACACTGAAGTTCTTGATTTTGAACAAGGGGCCCGGGACTCCGTTTTGCACGGGGCCCTGCAGATTCTGCAGTCAGTGCTGCTCGGGGCCACGGGCCAGCCTCAGGCCCCAGCTGGGAGGGTCCAGGGCAGGGGCCACCTGCAGACGGATGCAGTGACTCTGTAATGCTTGGCGCCTGCGCCGGCTGCCCAGGGCTCTGGAGCCGCCCGTGGTCCCCGGCAGGCGGCCGGGCTCTGCTCGCGGGGAGACCCGCCGGGGATACCCTCCAGCCCCGGGAAGAAGGGAACCGACTTCTGTGGGGATGCCGCACCCAGTGCCTCTCCTGCTCTCGTTCAGCCTCACGTCGACGGCGCTGGTGGGGCTGGTGGGGCTGCGTGTCGCGTGCCTCGCTCACTCGCAGACAGTACTTCCCCGGGGACAGAGCGCTGTGCGTTCGCCGGCCCCGCTGTGGCCAGTCGTCGCCTTCCGCCCCCCACTCCTCTTTGACCGTTTCGTTCGACACGATCCGCATTCCAAAGGACTCAGCCCTTCGCGGCGTGTACTTCAGTGGGTTTGTCGTTCTTGTGCAGCTGTCACCACCAATTTTAGAGCACTTGTGTCCCCGGGGACAAAGCCACGCGCCCTGCCAGTCCCGCTCCATTCCCTGCCCCCCGGCCCACGCAGGCATGGAGGGGTCGCCCCACGAGGACATGTCACAGCAGCAAACGGTGCCGCGCGGGTCTTCGTTGTGTCCCTGGGTTCGCGTGTCGGGGCTCGCTCCCAGCGCTCGGTGTCCGCCTCTCACCTTGGCCGATCCAGGGCGCGGCCGCCCGACTGCCTGGCGCCTGCCCGGCCCCCCACGCCGTGGAGATCTCTTCCGTGAATGCCCCTCTGAGCCTCTCCCTTATCACCTTGGGGGGTATCTGTGTGTTCTGGGACCCAGCCCTCGGGCAGGTGTGGGTGGTGCGTCTCAGAGTCCGAGCTCCGTGGCGCCATGCTGGTGGCTGGACGGGCCACCGTGGGAGACGGCACGGCAGGAGCCGGCCAACGCAACGTGTCGAGCCCTTCCCCCTCTCCCTTCCTCGTTTCCAGCATTTGGGCCATCTTGTTTGTTCTGGGAAGAAGCCTGAAGAAGCCCCCTCCCACCCAGCCGAGAGGCAGCTTCTGCCCCGACCTCCGGGTTGGCACTTGGGTCCTCAAGGGCACTTAGCCTTGGAGGCGGCTGTCCCGGCCCCTCGGTGGAGCCTGCTCCGGGCAGGCAGAGCTTGGCTCCTTTTGCCAGGCCCACGGGCACATTCCTGCCTGAGGCTGAGGCCACCCCTGGCCTGGGCAATGTTCCTGCCACCCCCCTTCCCCAGCCGGCCTCACCTCAACTCTGCCCCGCGTGGGGTCCAGGCAGAAACTTGGCGCCAAGGATGGCAGGAAATCGGTGGCTGGGGCGAGTCTGAGCCTGGTGGCCCCTTGGCCTCTACCGAGCTGCTGTCCCCCAGTGCCCCCCGCCCTGGCCAAGCTCAAGAGAGGGACTCATTATCCAGCTCGGGTCCCTCGGGGTGACCTGGTGTCCAGCACGTGCCAGGGCAGGTCTCCAGGTGAACAAAATGGTCAGGACTGTCACCCACAGGCCCCCAGGGGGCGTGGGGTCCCCGGGCAGGCATGTCTTGTGAGGATAGGTGGACGAGGCTGGGGGCCAAGTGGGGGGGGCCCTTGTGCCAGTCAGGGGGGAATGTGAAGCAGCACCCGCGTCCCCCGTGCCCACCCCGAGCCCCCCGAGCCCCCACGCCAGGACCAGCCACGGGGGGGCGGTCCCCACGCGCGGGGGGCCTCTGGTGCTGCTGCTGGTGGCCAGGCCTGGGCTTTCTCACGTGTCACTGGGCAGTGTGGAGATTGCGGAACTTCCTTCCGTCCCCGTGTTTGTGACGAACTGGCCCGACGCGGGCCGGGCCGGGCGGCTGCTCCGCGGGCCCTGTGGCGGGTCCTGGGCGGGATCCCGACGGAGCCCCTGGGGCTGGCGTACCCCCAGACGGCCAGTGCGTGCTGCCGAGAGCGTGCGTGCGTGTCTGGGTGTGCGAGTGTGTGTGCACGTCCCTGTGAGCGTGTCCGTGCCCACGCAGGTGGTTGAGTGTGAGGACATAGAAATATGTGGTGGGTGCGCATGGGTGAGAGCGTGGGAACACGTGTGAACGTGTGCGTGTGAGCATACGTGGTGTGCCCCCTCCCGCGTTCTCCGGAAGGAAGGCCCCAAGCGCCCTTGGTGCCCTCCTGCCCCTGGGGAGTTAGAGCCCGAGGGTCCCCCTCGTGGGCTCTGGGGAGGTTTCGGGCCCTGACCCACACTGACAGTGGGCAGGGGGGCTGACACCGGCCGCGCCAACTGCCCGGCCGCCCTGGCCTGTGGTCCGGGCTCCGGGAAGGAGCCCTCCAGGTGAGCGGCTGCCGTGACCCCGCGTGGCCCACGGCCGCAGCTGCACCAGCAGGCCCTGTGCACCCGGCGGGGCGGCCCGGCCGGGCCTTTGAGCTGCGTGTTCAGCAGGGGGCTGGCGGGCTCGGGCTCCCGCCTTAGCTGGCCCTCCGCGCCCTGGGACCCCCGCGTGCCCTCTCTTGGAGGAGGCAGTGCCTTCGCCTCTCATCCCCAGCCCCCTGTCTTTCCCGATCCCCACCAACCTCCGGGGTCCCTCAGCGCCGGCCTCGGGCCCGCACACCTCCGGCCCCCTCTGTCCTGCAGCAGGCGGCACCCTGCTCTGTCTGGCACGTGAGGAGACCGGGCCTCGGGGCTGAGGAGGGGCGGAAGGTTGTGGGGTGGGGGCAGTGGGGCACAGTCTCCCCACCCAGACGCCCCGTGGCCTCTCTGCCTGCTGGGGGGTGGCGCCTGGGCAGCTGCGGAGGTGGGGTCCCGCTGCGCCCCGGCCCAGAATCAGGTTCGGAGGTGGGGAGGGTGGGCCTCGGTTTCCCCACTGGCTGTGGTCAGATGCGCCTGGCGGCTGTCCGCGACGGTTCTGGATGCAGCGCCAGCTCTTGGGGGGGTGGGATGAGTCCTGCAGGTGTGGCTCTCACCAAGGGAGGCCGGGGC